ACTTTCCCTGTTTCACTCTCGTCATTCACTGCTGTTTCCTGAGATGGCTGTCCAAAATAAACTACCTAAAAGTAAGCCCTTGTCTCAGGTTCAGCTTTCAAGGGTGTAAGCCAGGCTAAAATACCACTAAATATAATTCATACAGGAAAGGCAGGATAAATGCTCAATACTTTCATTATATTGCAAATATTGCCCTAGTTATGTCTAATAATGAACTCAAGGATTTATATGTCATCAATGAATTTCAATCGGTTGTAGTTTCTACCCTTTTTTCATGCTCAGATTGTCCCTTTTTCAGCCAGTGGAAGCTTCTTTATGCTGATCCTTTTGTCCCTTTGACCTGTCCCATTAGACTTTAGACTTTAATAGCTTCCTTGATTTCTTGCATAACAGGGTGTTTCAGGCTCGTGCACATTTTTGCCCCGACCTAATAGCTGCCATTCCTCCAAAGGGTCTCGTTCTTTTTCATAAGAAATGATATATTGAGAGTATAATGACTGCTAAAGATTGCAACAAGATTACTATTACTTCGAGGCCTTTTCAAGGGATAAAGCAAGTGTATGGTGTTGTTGTTTTTTTTCAATAAATATGTAATTTTGTTTTTATCCTCACCTGAGGACATTTTTCCATTTTTTTGTTCAGATAGAGTGGGAGGGAGAGAGAGAGAGAGAAACATCGACATGTAAAAGACACATCAAGTGATTGCCACCCACACGACCCACCCAGGGCTGGGGACAAACTGCAACCAAGGTATGTGCCCTTATCGGGAACTGAACCCGGGTCTCTCTGGACCACAGGCTGACGCTCTAACTGCTCAGCCAAACTGGCCAGGGCAATATGTAATTTTCTTATTGGAATATTAGAAACATACTTTTTAAAAGGAAAAACCATAAGTTCATATTATTTCAAATATACCTTTACTATTACCTGGATTCTACTTACTCTGAAAACCATCATTTGTAATATGCAAAAATGGTCTGAAAGTAGTAATATCTACATGTCTACTAGCAATAAGACTACTGAATGAAGTTTAAGATTTCTTTGTAGGTCTATTTATCCTGAGAACATAATTCATTATGTATGTTCCACTATGTACAGTGAAAACACTATTTTCTAAAGTCAGTTAATTGTTTACTTGGTGTGGCTATGCCACCAACTTAATATACAATTAGGTCATTTGCTTCAGTTGTTTTCAAATTTTAAGAAATACATTTTTCTTTTGAATTTTAAAGTACTTTGATCTTTTTTTTTTTTTTATCCTCACCCGAGGACATTTTTCCATTTTTTGCACAGATAGAGTGGGAGGGAGAGAGAGGAAGAGAGAGAGAAAGGGAAACATCGATGTGAAAGGGACACATCGAGTGGCTGCCACCCGCACGACCAACCAGGGCCGGGGACAAACTGCAACCGAGGTACATGCCCTTAGCGGGAACCGAACCCGGGTCTCTCCGGACCGCAGGTGGATGCTCTAACCGCTGAGCCAAACCGGCCAGGGCTGAATTTTAAAGTACTTTGAATATGTAAAATATATACATGATTCCAAAGTCAAAACTATGTAGTCAAGTATAGTCAAGGTATATTCAGAGTAGTCTGTTTCCATGCCTTTCTCCTCCACCTGTTTTCTCCCATCCCAAAGATATGCAAATATATATTCATAATTCACCTGGCTTACAAAAAAAGCATAATATACTGTTCTGCACTTTTTTTTTTTTTTTAAAACATGTATTCTGGAAATCATTCCACATCATTTTAAAGACATGGTCCTCGTTTTTCAGAGTTGCACAGTGTGTTTCATTGTATGGTTCTACCCTAGTTTATTCAACCAGTCCATTACTTGTGGCTATTTGGTTTGTTTCCAATCCTTTGCTATTAGAAATAACACTGCAATGAATAACCTCGTGTATAAGTCATTTTGTATTTTGGGATTTCTAGGTCAAAGGGTAAATATATATGTAATTTTTCTAGGGATTATCAAATTCCCTTCCATAGGTGCTGTGCTCCATTTTACACTCTCATTGGTGATATGTATTCTTCCTTTTCACAGTCTGCCAACCCAGTAGGTGGTCAAACTTTTGGATTTTTGCTAATCTTATTACTTGCCTCCTTTTATCATTCTGCCCCGAGATATACCACGATGCTTTCATCTGCTTTTGGAAGAACTCTCTTAGCATTAACAATAGGTGATTGTGTTGACGGTGGTAGAGGAGGGTGGCTGCAGTGTCCCTATCTATTTCCACTCACCTAATCATGGAAATGCCAAAGCCCAAAGCATACACCATCCTTGTTAAGACTTTGTATTTCCAAAGGCTGGTTCAGGTTTCCAACCAAAAAAAAGGGACACCAAATATGACTTCATTTCTTTCTAAGGTCAGCAAAATGTAGAGAGAACAGTAAGTGAAGTCCACTGGTACTTGATCAGCTTCAGGATCCCGAGAAAAGTGGAGGAGGAAGAACTTTTGTCAGCTTGCTGTCTCCAGAATAACCCCAATGCCAAGCAGAAGATATCCCTGTGTATGGCTGGAGGTTTCCAGGTGGTGGAACGACCATTCTCTAATCCGCAGGGCTGCCCACACCCAGGACCTTTTATTTTGTTGCTTTGTAAAAGTAAATATCATGAATGGAAATTATTTTTTTCTCTAGCTTCTCCCATTTCCCTGTATCTTCATGGGTGATTCTGCCCGCCAGGGGACATTTTGGCAACGTTCTGAAAAAAATCTGGTTGTCACAAGTTGGAGAGGGGCACTGCTGGTATCCAGTGAGTAGAGGTCAGGGATGTTGCTAAACATCTTACTATGCACAGGACAGCCCTCCCCACAACAACAAAGAATTATCTGGTCCAAAATGTCAATAAAGCCGAGGTTGAGAAACGCTGCTGTATGCTTTATTTATGCACACATTCACAGACATCCTTAAAATGACTGTGGTCAGTGGCAGAGGAAGGGCAGAATCACAGATACTCCCTCTCCCTGCTCCTCGGAAAGTCACCAGCAATTCAAAAATCTCTTTAGTCAGAGAGACTCTAAGGAGTTATATATATATCTGGAAGATTAAAGAACAAATACCATTTTAACCTTCTAAAAACTGATTATCATTAGGTATAATGCAACCTTTTAACTGTAAGTATAAAGGAAAGTGCTGATTATTTAAAATAAATGGGACCAAAAGTCCCATGAATAATAAAAAACTTGGTTAATAGAGTATGACCAGAGAATAATGCACTTGGCTTCTGTGGAGAAATTAAAGTACATGCTGTGAATTGGTATTAAGGAAATTGCATGAAAAGTTAGTCTTAAGGTACTGTGATTCTGAAGAAACAGCCTCAGGTGCACGATATATATCACATTCAGCCTTTATCTCTCCTGTTTTTTTTCATAACTTCTTTCACCTTGGATAACCCAGAAGCTGAGGCCTTGGAACTTTTTGGAATGGTAAGGTATCTCACTCTCCTCATTTATTTCCATCTAGAACAGACCCGAATTTTATTGCCAGTTGTTTGTTATCTCTTTCAAAGGAATTATTTTTGAACTTTAGTTTGCCTTACTTATTTTGTGGTCACAGACTGTGTTTAATACTTATGAGCATAACTCCATTTATCTGAAATGTACCCCTGAAGAATTATGCCTAAACTGAATGTTTGGCAATAAAATCTGATTTTTAAATCATAAGGGAAATTTGCCATTCAAAGGGAGTCTAAGGCTAAACCTTTTGTAGAGAAAAGCATCTTTTTTGCAAAGTGAATAATTATTCTTTAATTTGCCCTTTTTAAAGTCTGATTTTTAATGGAGCCCAAGTCTAGTCCAGCATTATGATGCTAAAATACATCAATAATGAATTTGAAGGGATTTTGAAAGTTGAAGAGAGTTTTGCAAGCTATTTTTATAAGTGTAAAAATGCATAATACATCCTTTATTATTAACGGGTTTTAACACTTGTTTGGGGTGATAAGAATGTTAGACATACTTGAAAAGAGAATAGGTAGCATTATAGAAATGATAATTACATTGACAGCAATAAGAAAACAATAATGGTTGGTAACCTGTTATTTTGAGAGGCTGTAATGTTGCAGTTCTAAGAGCATGGATTTAGAAACCAGATTGCTTGAGTTCACGTCCCTGCCTAGTGTGGACTTAGGCAATTTATAGGACTTGTCTGTGCCCCAGTTTCTTTATATAAAACATGGAGAATACTAATGTTTTCTACCTAAATTGGCTGTTTTGAGGATTATGTGAAATAATACACGAGCTATAATAAAGTACTAGGGTCAGTGGTACGGTTTTGAGTCCTGGATGGTACGCTCTTCTCAAGAGGTCCCTCTCCGCACCCCTGTGGGAGGTCCAGCTGCTTCTGCCTGAGCTGTACACAGGGGTGAAAGGAGCCCCGGCAAGGAGGCCAGTGACTCGGATAAGGAGAGGACATTCCTTGGGAAAAAGAACCCTTTCGGCTGGGCCACGCCACCTTCCGTCTGGTTGGGAGCCGAGGGCACGAGGGTTCAGACCCACGCAGGAACTCGGTATCCCCACCACCACTGAGCCAGCTCCTGATGTCCCGCAGCCCCAGAGCCGCCATCCCGCCGGTCCCAGACCACTGCCAGGTGCTGGCGATGGATAGCTACGCGAGGCTTTCCAGAGAAGGTGGCCGACGCCCTTCTTTCCGGGCAGGCCGGGGGCCGCAAAAAAGACCCACGGTCCCAACACAAATATTTATGTGTGCCCACTGTGTGCTGGGCGCTGGGGAGGCTCTGGTGACTCACACTCGGCTTAGACACCAGGCTCCGGGGAAACCGTAGGCACTCACCCCGGCATCCCTACCGCCCTCGGCCCCCGCAGGCCAGGACCAGGCGGTGGGAGAAGCCGAGGCTTTCACCCAACCTCATTTCCCGCGGCTCACCTCCAGAGCCCCGCCCCCTCGGGATTTCACGGCTGTGCCGTAAGGTAGGGAACAGTTTCAGCTCCAGAACAGCCCGCCTCCATCTTTACGACAGGCCGCATTCCTCGCCTCTAAATATGGCGTCCCCCATTTAGCTTTTGGCCGTGGTTTCTGCCCTAGTTGGCCGGGGGCAGTGCTGAGCTAGGGCAACTAGTTATCTGTCTAGACGGAGCTGTTCTGCAGCAGTTCAAGTTCGTTTCTGGTCACAGCTCCAAGGAACCCACGCGCCTCTGAGAGTCAGGAGTAGCCGCTTCTAGTCCCTGCAAGTTCCTCCGCCCCTGGCTTGTTTCCCCGCGCTACCTCCGGACCCCCTGAAGTCCCTGACACTCCCAGACTCAAACTATGAGCCTTCCGCAACTGCCGTTGCGCTTGCCCCGTTATCTCCGGGCCTCGGGACGCCCGCGTCGCCTGGGGTGGTCCCCGTCCCTCGGCACCATCTCCGTGGGCTCCTGGCGTGGTCAGTCTTCCAAGTCCCCGGCCTACTGGAACCAGGTGGTGTCAGAGGCGGAGAAGATCGTGGGCTATCCCACGTCCTTTATGAGCCTCCGCTGCCTACTGAGCGACGAGCTCAGCAACATTGCTATGCAGGTGCGGAAGCTGGTGGGGACTCAGCACCCTCTGCTTACCACAGCCAGGTGAGCTACTCCCTCCTCCCCCCTGGTCATTCCTGCCTCTCTCAGGCTGGCTTCCTGCCTACCTCTTTTTACTTATTCCTTTCCTCAGCCCTCCTAGACATTGGATGTCGTCTCTTTAGTGCACTTCACCGTAACATTTTTCCTGTTTGCTCAGTTGAGCGGATAAGTGGTTTTCTTTTGAGAAACATGTGTACGCTTTTTGCGTTTTTGCTTAATTATTGAGAGTGATTAGTGGAGGAACTGAATAGGGATGTGAGTCTGAGTCACTTGCTAGAAATGGTCTTTAAAACGTGGGATGGATTCCGTACTATTCAAGAGGTCACCTCTAGAAAGAATGGGGAAGGAAGATAGATTGAAGGTAGACAGTTCTTTTCAACGAATGTCCCAGGGTTGAGATACGAATGTATCCAGTCAGTAGTCTTTATGCTCTTAGGATTTTTATCACTTAAGCTGGACTACTGTGAAACCTGCCATCAGGATTTTAAGGACCACAACTTTTGTTTCCATTTTGTTAATCGACCTAATACTGTCCTTAAGAGCATTCTTTCCTTTTCTAATACAGGATACAGTCTAAGGTCAAATATTACACTTAGTTGTCCTGTCTCTTTAGTCTCCTTCAGTCTTGAGGAACATTTCCACAGCTCTTCTTTCCTTTTATGACTAAAGCGGTGGTTCTCTAATTGGACAGTTTTGCCCCCTGTGGAACATTTGGCAGAGCATGGAGATGTTGTCACAACTGGGATGTGGTACAGGAATTTAGTGGATAGAGGCCAGGGATGCTGTTAAACACCCTACAGTGGCTAGGACAGCCCTTAACAATGAAGAATTATGTGCCCCACAATGTAAGTAGTACCAAGGTGGAGAAACCCTGGACAAAAATTATCCTTTTTTATGTTTCCTTGTTTTTAATTAAACTTTTATTTTGAGATAATTGTAGATTCATTTGCAGGTGGAAGAAATAATACAGAGAGATCCAATGTACCATTCAGCCAGTTTTTCCCTGTTGTAATGTCTTGCACAACTATAGTACAATATCACAAGCAGAATATTGATATTGATAGTCAAGATGCAGAACATTTCCATCACTACAAGGTATCCTCCTCATGTTGCTCTTATATAGTCACCGCTACCTTTGCCCACCGCTTGTTTTAATTTTTTGAGACACCTCTACTTTGTTGCTACAGATGTTACTAAATAGCAGTAGTAGAGTGATTTTATTTCTTAGCATTATTCCCAGTTATCAAGAATGTCATCGTATGAGTGGGCTAAACTTGTCCTATAGCTGGAATGCTAGTTCTCCAGAGAGTCTATATGACAGACACCTAACACACAGATACACACACATTTTAAAGCTTAATAATGGAACTAAAGAGTTTATCACCCAGTTTAAGAACTATAATTTTACCAATCCTGTTAAAGCTGAGTTACTTCCTGGTACATCTCCCTGACCCCAAGTATACTGGATTTTTTCTTTTTAAAATTGCATGAGTGTTTCCCTAAGTAATAATATCTTTAATTTTTCTTCTTTTTGAAATTTTTTAGTCTGGTAGTTTATTGCATATAATCTGATATGACTTGCTCTTTTAATTTATCATTGTTTCTAAGATTCATTGTGTTGTGTTTAACTGTACTTCATTAGTTTTTCATTAGTGTATAAAATTCTACTGTGTGAATATGCCACAGTCTTTTCTCATACAACTTTTGGGTTGTTTACATTTTTGGTCTTATGAAAAATACTGCTGTGAATATTCTTGCATGTCTCCTGGTATATTTCTTAGAGAATCGATACAGGAGTATATGCACATGTTCAGCTTTAGTAGGTAATACCAAACAAATTGTTTTCTAGAGTGGTTGTACCAGTTTACACTCTCATGAGCAGTATCTGAACTCAGGTTACTCTATGTTCTCACAACACTAGAACCATGAGGTTTCTTTTTTTTTAATCCTCACCTGAGGACATTTTTTCATTTTTTGTTCGGATAGAATGGGAGGGAGAGAGAGAGAGAAACATTGACGTGAAAGGGACAAATCGAGTGGCTGTCTACCACATGACCCAACCAGGGTCAGGGACAAAACCCATCTGAGGTATGTGCCCTTAACGGGAACCGAACCCCGGGTCTCTCTGGACCGCAGGCCAACGCTCTAACCACTGAGCCAAACCGGCCAGGGCGCACCATAAGGTTTCTTAATTTTTGCTAATCAAACTGTGTGAGTGTTTGATGGAAATGATAGTGTTAGTGATGGGAGTTGTAACAGTATATTGCATTGTGTGTATTGTAGTCTCTGTAATAAAGCATTGAAGTGAAAAGGGCAGAGCTAAAAAGAGCCTTATTCAACCCACTGTATGGGAGAGTATAATTGCCAATGATACATTAGATAAGGGGTTAATTTCCAAAATATATAGAGTACTCATACAACTCAACAAAAGGAAGACAAAGAATCCAATTAAAAAATGGGCAGAGGACCTAAAGAGACACCTCTTCAAACAGGATATACAAATGGCCAAGAGACATATGAAGAAATGCTCGACATCACTAATCTTTAGAGAGATGCAAATTAAAACAACAATGAGGTATCACCTCACACCTGTCAGAATGGCCGCCATCAACAAATCTTCAAACAACAAGTGTTGGCGAGCGTGTGGAGAAAAGGGGACTCTAGTGCACTGCTGGTGGGAATGCAGACTGGTGCAGCCACTATGGAAAACAATATGGTGTTACCTCAAAGCATTAAAAATTGAATTGCCATTTGACCCAGTGATACCGCTTCTAGGAATAAACCCTAAGAAGCCTGAAACACCAGTCAGAAAGAATATATGTACCCCCATGTTCATGGCAGCACTATTTACAATAGCTAAGACCTGGAAACAGCCCAAGTGTTCATCAGTAAATGAATGGATAACAAAGCTGTGGTACATATACACAATGGAGTACTATGCAGCTGTAAGAAAGAAAGAAAGATCTCTTATCTTTTGAGATGACATGGAGGGACCTGGAAAGTATTATCCTAAGTGAAATAAGCCAAATATCACATGATCTCACTTATTTGTGGAATATAATGGACATAACAGTCTGAGGAATAGGGACGTGGAAGTAGGGTACAGACTGACAACCCTCAGAAGAGAGGGTTGGGGGGGCAAGGAAGAGAGAAAACACAGAAATTGTATGCATGTATGTATAACCAATGGACACAGACAACAAAGCCAGGGACGGGGTGGGAGGGATGGGGAGGAGGGTGTCAATGGGGAAAAAAAGGAGAAACATCTGTAACAAAAATAAATTAATTAAAATAAATAAAAATAATAAAATTACTTGAATATGACAAAAAAATAAATAAAAAGAGCCTTATTAATATGTACATCCTGAGAATCCCAATTCATCTAGTTAGTTGCCAGACTATCAAATGGGGTCTTGGAGAAGATCCCTTCTGAGACCACCAGAAACATACTAGATGAAAGCCTGTAAGACTGACGGCTTTGAAACTTTCCTGATTGTAGCATACTTAGTTTCACACTACAGTGAAAGAATTGGAGAACAAAATAAGTTTCAACAAAGTTGTAGTAATATCTATGAATTGCTTTATTTTGTAAGAAAAGAAAGCTAATCTGCATATAGTTTCATTATATTTAATAGTGTGCTGCAAATTATTTAAAGTCTATTCATAGGTAGCTGATGAGTAAAAAACTTTTGTGGCGTCATATATATGTATAGGGTGGGACAAAAATAGGTTTATATCCCTGCCAGTGTGGCTCCGTGTGTGGTCCCATGGACTGAGGTCCCGGTTTGATACCTGGTCAGGGCACATGCCGGGGTTGCAGGCTCCATCCCCAGTAGGGGGCTGCAGGAAGCAGCCAATGGATGCATCTCTCTCACATCAGTGTTTCTTTCTATCTTTCTAAAAAATCAATTAAAAAAACATATTAAAAAAAGGTTTAGCCCAGCTGGTGTGGCTCAGTGGTTGAGCATCGACCCATGAAGAGGTTGCCGGTTTCATTCCCGGTCAGGGCACATGCCCAGGTTGTGGGCCAAACCCCCAGTGAGGGGCATGCAGGAGGCAGCCAAATGATGTTCTCTCTCACTGATGTTTCTATCTCTCCCTCTCCCTTCTTCTCTCTCTAAAAATAAATAAAGAAAAAAAATAGGTTTACAGTTGTTCACATGGAAAGTAATACATAATATAAGAATAGCCCTTGCCTGTTAAGCTCAGTGGTTAGAGCGTCGGCCTGCGGACCAATGAGGTGCAGGTTCGACTCCAGTCAAGGCCACATACCTCGATTATGGTTTGTCCCGGCCCTGGTCGGGTCACGCAGGAGGCAGCCAGTTGATGTGGCTCTATTATGTCGATGTTTCTCTTTGTCTCTCTCTCTCTCCCTCATTCTATCTAATAATAAGTAGAAAAATATCCTCTGGCCTTGGCCAGTTTTGCTCAGTGGTTAGAGTGTTGCCGCGGTCCAGAGAGATCCAGGTTTAGTTCCTGCTAAGGGCACGTACCTCGGTTGCAGTTTGTCCCCAACCCCGGGGTCGTGTGGGTGGCATCCAGTCGATGTGTCTCTCTCACATCGATGTTGCTCTCTCTCTCTCCCTCCCTCTCTCCCTCTCACACTATCTGAAGATTAATGCAAAAGTGTCCTCGGGTGAGGATAAAAAAAAAAAGAAGAAGAAACTGTGTTTCGTGTAGTCACAACTGTAAACCTGCTTTTGCCACACCCTGTTTATCTATATACACTATATACTGTGTATATGTTTTAGCAAAGGAGCAGACATTTGATCCATAGGGTAGAAAGACTGTGGTTATTGTAAATTATAGCTAAAAACATGGATTAGGCAACTATGTTATTTCACATATTATGCACCTTACTTTGTTGAGATCTTGTCAGCAAAGCATTGATAATTAATGAGAAAGATGATCTCAGCATATGAGCAAAAGGACACAAAGACCCCTTGTAATTGAAATAGGACCATAGGAAACCAGATTTGGTAATTCTTTTACAGTCCCATTTT